CTGTCTGTCTTGAATCCCAGAGGTTTCCAAATAAGGCGCTCCAGTGAAAAAGGAATGATTGTATTAATAGAATAAGACTTGGTTGAGAAATGCATTTGTATTGACCTGATTCAAGGACATTTTTGATGCATGCTGTTGCTGTGGTAACATGTAGGTGGGAACTTTATGGCGGCCGCTCTGGAGCTAGCTTCAATGACAGACAGGAAAAAACAAGTGGAAATGTTGTAAGGTTTAGGAGCAGAGTGGTTATGGTTTCTGTTTTTCATTGCAATACTGAATAGGATTAGTTTCAAGGACACATTGTGGAGAATTGAGTTTTTTAAGGTTTTAAAGGCACTGTACGTGTTTTTTACCATCTTAAAACGTGAAAAACAGAACTAGTTCATTTTAAACAGTTTGCAAGTTATTCCACACTTACCTTGTGCATTCTGAGCATCAGTTATTCACCAACTGCTTTTCACAACTCCTAGAGACAAATGCAGATTTGCACCCGCACTGTGCAGTCCCGTTCCCGCCCGCAAAGAATTGTAATTTTCAGGACCCACTCCAGCCTGCAACTGCAATATTTTGTCCCGCTCCCACCCACAGGTCCCACAAGTCCCGCACGATGGGGACGTTCGCTTTCTTAAGCTCTATCAAACACGGAGAATCGGAAAGGAATTGTCTAAAATGTGAAAGGTTAAACCATGTCCGCAAATTTAGGCTGCTTAAAATGTTTTTATTAAGGCCAAATAAAATATCCAGGACAAATTATGCATGATAGGCATTCATTAATCATTTGTATATTTTACTTTACACTCATATTTAGTTTGCGGGACTGCAGTTTATCATCCCACCCAGCCGCTCCTGCCTGCCCCTAGAATGAGCTTTCAAACTGTGTCCCGCGCCACACTGTTTTGCGTCGGGTCCCGCAAGTGGAGTGCTGGGCTCTAGTATGGAGTTTAAAAACACAGTAGAGCACTTCCTGTATTGCCACATCACATCGTAAGATGGAAGTGAGTGTTCTGTTTGGGAGAAGAAATAAGCCTAAAAGGGTTTGTGTGTTAAACATGTGTGAAAGAAACAAAACACAACTCCAGGTATAATTTTGCTGAGGAAAAAGGAGTAATAAGAGACCTTTAAACTTTTTTGTTGGGGTCCGTCACCTGCTTGTTTCTATGGAGATGTCTTTGCTTTGCCTGGAAAGTTCCACAGTATGACATTAAACAGTTCTACCTTACATTTATTCAATTAATGGTGGTTTTATAGCTCAAAAGTACCTAGAAAAACAGGTATTCTGACCGTGAGCGAGGTTGCCCTTCCACAGATCTGACCTGTAAGTTAGCCTGATTTGTTCTCCATGAAGATTGAAAGGTTTAATACCATATTACGTAAAACATTTCAGACAAATGTTAAAAAAAATAAATAAATCAGGTACAGACCCTTTGATTATTGAATTCATTTTAAAATAGAAAAATATCAAATCACAAATTGCACTTGATAAAGACACTTAAAAAAAAAAAAAATTTAAATATATTGCTACACAACCAGCCCTACCTCACACCACACAATCCAATTTCCTCTTGTAATATTAGCCAACATTGAGTCCCGTCTGAGCTGCTTCCACTCTGGCAGCCGGCCCTAACCTGATAAAGCCGTGCTGTGTGTCCATTTGGTTTGGACAGCAGCGCTCCTGTGGTGTGAATGAGCCCTGAGCGCCTCTCTCTGCCCATTCTGTGACTCAGGGTAAAAGAATAGTCCACTGGCATGCCTGGCCCTCAACGGAAACTTATGTCCTCCGAGCCAACAGGAGGCACAGAGCTGGAAACTTGGAAAGAGCCGCAGCCAGTGAAGCAAATGAAGAGAGTGGATTCAATTAGGGGATTTTGTGTGAAAGGTTTTAAATGCGTACTATTTACTCAGAATTATTGAAGCTGGTTTGAAATGCGGTTATGACAGAGTGCGTTCAGGGACACAAATTATAAATCATCAAAACAGCTATACAAGTTCATTTTTTACTTTTAAGTATCATTCTAACAGGGCTTAAAAATCCTATATTACACAAAATTGAGTCTTGTGAGCTTTAAAACCTGCTATAATGTTGTTACCTTTTCAAAAGTATACACACATACAGTTGTGTTTTCTTTCATTCATGCATGTTTGAGTAACCCCTTATTATTAGTCTGTCTACATTTCCAAAGCTCAGAATGTTCTGTTCCACCTTCTGATGTCATGGAGCAGTAGTTTTCAAGTTAGCAGCTACCTTTTACTGCGCAGAAATCATCCAAGTGATTCCAGTAAAGTTGTATGGAGCACACACTGGAGCTCTTCTTGTATTACCACATGACATCACAAGGTGGAACAGGGTGTTTTCTGTTTAAGAAATGAACTCAGCCTAAATATGCAGGATATTTGTGTTAAACATGTGAATGGAAAAAAAATGGAACATTATGACATGGATCAGAAAATAGTGCAATGTGAATCCTTTAAGGATGCACATAAAACATTGATCTACACAAAAAGGTGTTTGTACTAATTTATAGCAAAATTACTAGACAAATTAAAAGTCATACATTGGAACATTGTTAGCACAGCAATAACATCTCCATGGAGACGAGCAAGACAAGGACCAAAATTAGTAAAAGATAATATCAACAACTTTCTGTATGTATGTAAATCTGTAGCACTAGCAGTTGCTAGGAGTACTATTTTCTGGCACAGACATTTTTGAGTAAAAATCAGGTATTGCAGTGCTTCCAAGAACAGGTTAATGCCAGTTATTTTCATGTTCTTCCTTGTTTCCCATTCATTTAAAAGCAATACTTGCCTGGACTCAAAAACTAGATTAGATTAGATTATTCGCAAGGGGACAGTGCAGTTTCATAAAATAAATGATTAAACGTGAGTAAAAAAAGCCAGAATTAGTAAGAGGGTATTTTTCATCTGTAGTCCCCTGGCCCTGATGTTAGAGGAGCAATACAAAATAACATTCAGGACAAAACAGACCTTACATTACAAACATAGGACACAATAAACACAGCACAAAGCGGAAGAGAAACCAGACTACAGATTTGCATCAGGGACAGTCCATACATAGAACACAACAGGCTCTAGTGTTCAGTGTTGGCAGGTGTATATTCTCTCTGGTAGACGAGACAGTGTCCCCAAAGCCCTGGAGCTGCTGCTCACATGGGCTGTTTGTTTAATAGTATGTGTGGATACAGTGGGAATGTCCTCTCTTATCAAATACACACTGACCATGTTCCGTCCCTAAGCTCTGGCTTTGCTTTTATCAGTCACAGTTGTTACGGGCACACTAGGCTACAATTACATGCAGGGAAGTTTAACTTTCACATTGTGTTAGTAACAGTTAGCAAAATCTACACTCTAAAAGGTTGAATTAAAGATTGCATTCCTCTTTCCATGGATGAACAATTAACCTTACAGTTTCACACTTAAAGCCACAATGTAACTTTTTAGCCAAAGCTGTTTTTCCCCCTTCATTTTGGTTGTGTTTATGGCACTGAAAAGCAGGAAAATATCCCCCCTCATTGAGTGGGCTTGCATCTCCACAAACCAAACCTGACTTATTTGGCCTAGAGGGGGGCCTCCTCCAGCTTCTTTCCATGGAAATGTTGTTCCTTTGGCTGTAATACTCCACAGCATGGCATCTATCTCCATGGAGTGTTCCGAAGTATGGTTTACTGTCTTATTTCCATGGAGTCATGCAGGTGGCCTGCCACCACCAGAAAGCTGCATACTGTACCTTTAATTTGTGCTCTGGGATTTCACAGTTGAAATTAGTATTGACCTTTTCCAAAGCAGAATGACCCCTGTCAGTATTTTCAAATAACTTCATCAAATGGTTCGAGACAGCCCTGAGGCAACTCATTACCCTTTGCCAGTGCAATGAAGGATGTGAAAGGAATGTTTTTAATTGAAATAGTACTTTATAAGATGATAAAATATACTTAATTTATCCACAGGAGACACTATTTCCTTCAACAACTCTGCAATAAGCCCTTAGGAGGCAGACATACAATTTGTTTTCAAATCACGTATTTCATACTTTTTAAATGTCTTTCCAAATGGATTTTCTTCACATGTTGAATCATTGCATCGCTGATTATTCTATGGCTCATAACTACCTCAATAGACAAGATGAACTTTGACCACTTTGCACCTTAACAGTGCCTAAAAAGTGTTATTGTGAATTTGAACACTTTGATGGAGAAAAGGTGTGGCAGATGTATAATCATACTCACAGGGTTCACCTTCTGTTTATAGGAGCTATTTTGAGCACTTTGTATCACTCAAAACACCTTATACTATATAAACTATTTCAAGAGAGTCAAAATGACTAGCAAATTTTATATAGACTGAGCTTCTATGTTTTTTAAATTTGCAAGTTGTTTTTATGATACTTTGTCCTGTTCTCTAAAGAGCACTTATTTTAACCTTTATAGGTTTTTGACATCTTTATTTTTATAACACTCTAACTGCACTCATCATGATAATTACTCTGTCCAATTATCATTCAATATTTCAATGATGGAACAATATATTTTGGGGCTCAATATTGGTCATTTGTACAATTTCTCTGTAACAGTGGTGGAATTTTTGCTGTTTTTATATAATACGATAAGATTTGAACCGTGGAAGGTTAAGTATATAAATAATTATTTTTTGACCATTGCTTCATTTTGATATTTATTTAATGATACTTTGTATCTAAAATTTATTTTACTGGCATAATCTTGCTTTGTGTCAGCAGCATAAAGTAGTTTCAGCATTATTTTTTATCACAATATTTCTCTGTAGCAATATATCGTGCTTCAGAATGTGTCTACACTCACGTGCACATCTCTAGATATGTTTTGTTTTGAATCACTATGGCAATGCTGCTAATTTTCTGTTATCTTAAAACCTATATATATTTAGCCTCATTGAATGAACTGGATACTAAGAGTTTACTGTTTTTCCATGTATTTCATTGACTCTTTTATCTTGTGTATTTCCAGATAGTGTCAAACGTGCTGATCTTCTCGTGCACAAACATTGTGGGCGTGTGCACTCACTACCCCGCAGAGGGATCCCAGAGACAGGCCTTCCAGGAGACCAGAGAGTGTATCCAGGCACGACTCCACTCACAGAGGGAGAATCAGCAACAGGTAAGGGGGAAAGGGGCAGAGGATGTGAGGATTATGGAGGTTTAAAGTTGCATTGTGTAACTTTTTGGTTGGAGGTCCGTCACCTGCTTGTTTCTATGGACATGTCATTGCTCTGCCTGAAATGTTCCACAGTATGACATTAAACAGCTCTACCTTACATTATTTAGATAATAAGTGGTTATATAGCTCAAACATACCTAGAAAAACTGATTAAGTGGGGTTGCCTCTTCACAGATCTGACCTGTAACTTGGTCTGTTTTGGTCTCCATGAAGGTAGAAAGGTTTAATGCCATACTGTGAAACATTCCAGATAAAGCAATAACATCTCCATGGAGAAAAGTATTTGATGGACCCTCCACCAGAAAAGTTACACAATGCACCTTTAAAGCAATTTTTACTAAAAATGTTTTCATACTTTTTTAAGGGCCCATATTGCACTGTTTTCTGACCTATGTTATAATTTTGTTTCCTCATCAAAAACATGTGCCTCATATTTAGGATGAGTTGTTCTATTTCTATCAAATGGGAAACACTTTTTTCCACCTTGTGATGTCATGTGGTTGCACAGGAAATGCTCCACTGTGTTTTTAATGCACCTTCACTAGAATCATTTAGATCATTGCAGATCTGGAATTGCCTATCTCTACTGAACTAAAGGTAAAACATGAAAACTACCCCCACATCACAAGGTGGGACAGAGCATTTTGAGCTTTGTAGATGTAGACAGACTAATAATAAAAGGTAACTCAAACGTGTAAATGAAATAAAACACAACTCCAGGTATGTTTTTGAGGAGATAACAACATCATAACTGTACTGGCTTGTGAGAGCCTGATCCTGTCAGATCTCAGAAGCTAAGCAAGACTGGGCCTGGTTAGTACTTGGATGGGAGACCCGCTGTGAAAATCAGGTGCCACAGCGGGGCGCCAGTCGCAAAAAAACTGTCATTGTGTCCTTAGGCAAGACACTTCACCCACATTGCCTAGTATGAAAGTTGTGTGTGCATGAGTCATGATGGTGGTCAGAGGGACCGATGGCACCGATTGGCATGGCAGCCGCGCTTCCGTCAGTATGCCCCAGGGCAGCTGTAACTCTTACCATCACCGGGTGTGGAGAAAAAGAATAATGAATCTATTAAAAAATGCTCTGTAAAGCGTCTTTGTGACATATGTCTGTGAAAAGTGCTATATAAATAAAGACTGACTTACTTACCATAACATGGTTTTAAGGTCACAGGGGTCATACTAATCATTCACAGCGATGAAGTTATAAGCACTTTTCACAATTTTCAGAGGTCAAAGCAGGAGTGTTACAAGATGGATTCCCGTGGGCTTGTGAATTCAGAAATATTGTGTATATTAATCTTGCTGCATGAGATAATACTGTTATGACATATTATTATTATACATGATTTAATTTCTCCCTCAGGAACGTCTGCTCCTCTCAGTGCTTCCACGTCACGTCGCCATGGAGATGAAAGCGGACATCAACGCCAAGCAGGAAGACATGATGTTCCACAAGATCTACATCCAAAAACACGATAATGTCAGGTACAAGAATATTATTAACATATTATAACGATAATAACACAATACAACAATATTAACAAAATAACATTAGAGGGCCTATGACAGATTAGACTACTCATTTCACCAAAACACAGTTAAGATCATAAGATTTAAGATAAAATTTCATTATTTTTTTCCTAGTTTGGCCAATTTGTAGGTTGCAAATTTTACTTCCTGGTTGGAAATTATGACATCACGCTAAGGAAGTTCATTTCTGTTATCTAGCAACTATGATGTACTCTCGGCAACAACTCCTCTAATGAACACCGACATTTTTAATTGACAAATAAAAATACAAGAAAACACCTTTACTTTGGTTGAAATGATGCTCAAAGTGCCAGAAAAATTTGTTTGTTAAAGCTGCTCTGTGTAACGTTTCTGTTGGAAGGCTATTCCCAGTCTTTATTGAGATGTTGTTGATGTTGCTTTGCATGGAATGTTCCACAGTATGCCGTATCACCATGGAAACAAGCACTTGGCACCACCCACTCCACATCAGAAAAGTTACACAGAGCATCTTTAATATTTTTGTATAATGCCTTGTCTTGGTTGGTTTACACATAGTTATGTTTTTTTTTTTTTGTTTTTTTTAATTACTAATTATTACATTATACTTAAATCTACTTAGACCAGTTTACATTTGGGTTTAGACTTGCTTCAGACCTGGTTTTGTCCTAGTAATTAGTGGAATATTTGTACAGCTCATTTTAGATGCTTGGATATCCAGATTGAGCATAAATAGTGTAGTTTTCTTGTTACGCAGCTGTGTGAATCAGATTTATCTCATATTGTCATTCATATAAAACAGTTAATCTTGTGTGTAATCATAATATTGGATTTCAGATTAATTTCTTTCTGTCTGTAGCAGTATTGACTGTTGTGGACTGGAGCAAAGGAGTTATTGACAAGAACTTTGATACATGTGTCTGTATTGCACTGATAAAACACTCTCTTTGTGTCTCTGGTCCTGGTCTAGTCCTGGTCTATTAATGGTCTAGTGCTGTTTTAGTCCAAGTTTAGTTCAGTTCCAGTCCTGGTTTAATCCTGGTCTAGTTTTGGATTAGTTTTGCTTTTGGTTCGGATTTAGTTCTTGTTGTGTCCTGGTCTTGTCCTGGTCTACTCTGGTCTAGTTCTGGTTTGGTTCTGGTTAAATTTCATTTTGGCCCTGGTTTAGTTCTGGTAATCCTGGTTTAGTCCTCATCTAATCCTGGTATAGTCCTGGTTAAATCCTTGTCTGGTCCTGGTTTGGTCCTAATATGGTCTGGTGTAGTGTAAACCAGGTCTAGTCCTGGTTTAGTCCTGATTAAGTCTTACTCTGTTCCCAGTTTTGTTCTTGTTTAGTCCTGGGTTCCACTTGGTCTTCTCCTGGTTTGGCTCTTGTCCTGGTTTAGATTTGATCTAGACCTGGATTTGATGTGGTTTGGCCCTTTTTAGTCCTCCTGGTTTTGGTCTAGTTTTGGCCTAGTCCTGGCCTAGTCCTGGTTTGTCTGAGTTTAGTCCTGTTCAAATCCTGGATTACTCCTGGTCTACTCCTGGGTTAGTCCTGGTTTAGTCCTTGTCTGGTCTTTGTTTTGTCCAAGTATGGTCTAGTCGAGGCCTAGTTCTGGTCTAGTTCTGGTCTAGTTCTGGTCTAGTCCTGGTCTAGTCCTGGTCTAGTCCTGGTCTAGTCCTGGTCTTGTCCTGGTTTTATCCTGATCTTGTCCTGGTTTGGTCCTGGTCTATTCCTGATCTAGTGTTACTCTAGTCCCGAGTTAGTCCTGGTTTAGTCCTGATTTAGCCTTACTCTAGTCCCGGGTTTGTTTTTGTTTAGTCCTGGGTCTCACTTGGTCTTCTCCTGGTTTGGCTCTAGTCCTGGTTTAGTCCTTATCTAGACCTAGATTCGATGTGATTTGGCCCTTTTTTAGTCCTTCTGGTTTGGTCTAGTCCTGGCCCTGGTTTAGTCCTGGTTTAGTCCTGGTTTAGTCCTGGTTTAGTCCTGGTTTAGTCCTGGTCTAGCCCCGGTCCAGTCCATATTTTGATGTGATTAGGAATTGTGAATGCAGTTATAGCCAGAATCAAATATATTTTTTTCTGTACATAATCTGTCTTGGTGCAGTTTTTATTGTGAGGGGGAATCAGATTCAGCTTGGCTTAACGTGCGGTTAATTGACGAGTAACAGGGTGAGACGAGGTCAGTCCGGATGCAGCCGAGGATTGTGGGTAATTGAGTTTGTATTGAGTAACACAGAATTAAGCAGAAGTGACATGTCCCAGTGTGGCCAGTAAAGAACAATAGACACAAAACCGAGGACACAGAGGGGTCAGCGGTTAAAGTGCAGATGAGGTGAAGAATTAGATCCAATTTTAGTGTCTAAAAACCATTATGTATAGAACTATTTTGAATTACAGCTAATGCCAAACCTTTTTAAATGATTTAGATTTCCTTGCAATAAATGCTTTAAAATCAAAACAAGGTTAGCAGGTTGAATAAGACTTAATAGAGATGGTATATTTTGACATTATGCTTTTTAGTAACTTCAGCCTTGGGATTTGCTAGTTACCATTTCAATTGTAGTTTAAAGCTCCTATGTTATATAATATTAAGCCATGTTATAATGTTGTTGCCTCATCAAAAACATACCTGGAGTTGTGTTTTGTTTCTTTCACACATGTCTGAGTAATCCCTTATTGTTAGTCTGTCTACACTCCCAAAGTTCAAAGCGCGCTGTTTCACCTTTGTGAATGAAACAAAGCACAACTCCAGGTATGTTTTTGAAGAGGAAACAACATTATAACATAGACTAGAAAATAGCACAATATTGGCCCTTTAACTGCTACTGATGTAATTATAAGACAGTAAAGGCACATTGAGTTTACCTTGTGTATAAAATGACTTACCTAATCTTGTAGCCATATAAGACAAAAAAAGTGTATGTCTGTAATTGGACTGATTTCAAAACTTAATTGGGATTATTTTAATTTTTATTTGAAATGTATAGTACATCAATAGAATTTAGTTGATTTAGATAGTCAATTAGTTAGTTGCATAGACCTTTGACTAGACCACAGTCTAGTTGGTTCATTTTGTTTGTTTTGGGGTAAAGATATTGATTCACCTAAAATATGCCCAGACTCGAGTGCGTTTGAACTCAGTCTTGTCTCGCTCTAGAAGGCACATGGACTGGGTCTTGTCTCGGATTTGAGGTCTGACACTCAACGAGTGTGACTATGTTTCATTATGGCTGCTGCTGTCGGGAATAAACTGCACCAGTGCGCGGGAGCGAGCAGGGCTTCTCACTGTAGCCCCTGCACTCGTTTAATATACGTGTGCCAAAATAAGTGTAAGATGGTCTTGATTTTTTTCTCAATGGGCTGTGGTCATGGTCTTGCCTCAGTCTCAACCTTTAAAAGTCTTGATCTTGTCTTGGTCTTGACCCTCAGAGATCTTGGTTTTGTCTTGGGACTCTGTGGTCTCTGACTGGTCTTGGTCTGAATTAGTGGGGTCTTGACTACAACACTGCCTGAAATACTTTTTAGTTTACATCCCCTAAGTCTGAACTGATCAGATGGTAAATGCTTAAACTACTGCTACCCCCTGTGGTTGACTGACATATTAAAAGTAAAAGAAAGAATTGTGAGGCTATTTTTGGTATTTTAGTTTTTACTGTAAAAACAAAATAATTTTAGCCCTGTTCACATGGTACAGTGTGTGCCATCGTCTCTTTGTCCTTTATTAATGGGCAGTTAAGTGCATTTTTGTCTCTGAAATCCAGAACAGGCACTGCTTTGGTAAAATGTCATTTAAATGTCAGAGTGATCACAGAGGGAACCAAAAATGGCACTAGTCTAGATTTAAAGGTGGATTATTATTCTGTACGTTGTAATATTTTTGTAAAGACATAAAATATAGGCCTTTTCTCAATTCTGCTTTCAGTGCAGTTGTTTCTCCTTTTCATTTAAGATCTCTAGTAAGTTATGATTCATTCATGCTCGAGTAATCTTTATTCTCCTGCATTCAAGACGTCATTGCTCCAATCAGCCTCCATTTTCATCATCACTGGTACACGCCCACTGCTCTGTACTTACGTCATTCTTTGATTTTATTTTCTAAATCAGTGATATGCATAATATCACTGTCATATAGCAATTTTGTTACACATGAAAAAAAACTCCCATTGGGCACTTCAGTTTTCTAACGTGGAAGTAAGCGGACATGCTTTATTAAAATTTGCAAATGATAAAATAATGATTCACTGTTGTTACAGATTATAATAGACACAAGCACAATATGTCTTCTTAAAAAAAAGAGCGATACAGTGACAATTTGGAAAACTGTTTTGTTATGCTCTTAGAAAGGATAGAATTTCACCATTTAGTCAATCAATCCTTATCAAAAGCAACTTAGTGGCACTGTGTAACCTCTCGGCCACCTGGTTGTTTCCATGGAGATGTTATTGCTTTGCCCTAGAATGATCCACTTTTGTACAGATCCACTCCAAGGAGACAAGTAGGTCAAGTTTTCTTTTCTTCAATCAAAACACATGTGAAGTTAAAGTCATAATGTGGAATATTCCAGACAGAGCAATACCATCTCCAAGGAGACAAACAGGTGGCAGAACTCCCACCAGAAAATCACGGTGCAAATTTGTTTTGGTAAAAAAAAGATAGATATTTGTGTTTAGTACTAGTGTCTCTCTTTCTCTCTTACTCTCTACCATCACTCCCTCTCTCTCCCTCACCCTTTCTTCTTCCTTCCCCTCTCTCTCTCTCTCTCTCTTTCTATCTACCGTCTCTCTCCTTCACTTAAATATACTCTCCATTTCTCCCTCATCTCTCTCTCTCTGTCTTTTTGTTGTTATCCCTCTTTTCCTCTCTTCTTCTCTGTCTATCTGTCTCTCCTCATCTTAAATACCCTGTATGTTCTCTTCAGCCTCACAACAACATTTCACAGAAAACAAATCATTATTTCCTAGAAACGGCTCCCAAAAGGCCACTCTCCTTATGTTAAACCGTATGGACATATAGTACTGGCAAAACATCTATACATGGGGTGACATGACTAGAAATAACCTTTTAAAAATGTATGCGGAGTGAAAATTAAAGGGGACATATTATAAAATCAAAATGTTAAAATCCTGCATTTGAGGTTTGAGTGGTCTGACAACTTCTGTTCTCACCTACCACCTATCTCCACCCACTTCTCTCTACTTACTTACAATTATGATTATTTTTTACAATTCAGACTCTGTGTCATAGTATTCAAAAATGTCAAATTTAAATCAATAATAATGTTTTAGTACCAGGCCTGTCAACAGACATTTGGGGTCCTGGGGCAAGAAGCCTCAAAGGGGCCCTCTAATATAAATTAATAGGAAGAGGGACCAATTCTGGGCCGCTAAGACCCTGTGACCTGGGACAAAAGACCCCAGAAAACACTATGTATTACCACTATATGACATCACAAGGTGGAACAGAGCATTATGAGCTTTGGAGATTTGCAGACTATTAAATTAAAGGATTACTCAGACATGTGTGAATGAAACAAAACACAACTCCGAATATGTTTTTCATGAGCTAACAACATTCTAACATGACTTAAAGCTCACATGAGTCAGTTTTGTCAATAATTTAGTTTTTGGGTGAACTTGATAAGATGAAAAAAAAAAGATAAGATAAACCCACTGGCAGAAAATGTATCTTGAGAAAAGAAAATTCTACCTCATAACTATAGTACCTGAGTACCTGTACACAATTTTCAGACATGAGTGAGGAACACCCTATACTCCCTCTTGTACTATGGTAGACAAACAACTAGAGATTGATTAACTAGTCTACTAACTATGTATTTCCAATTAAATATTCCATACTTTTAGCCTCTTCATTATGTATTTATCATATATGGAAAAGATGAGTCAAAATGTACATGCTTAGTTTTTATATAGGAAATTATAACACAAATATTTAAATTCAAGTGGAAAGGATAATAAAGTAAACATCCTTCAGATTGTACAGTTTATTTTTGGAGCTGATACTTCCTGAGGCTCAGAGACAAAGTTCTGTCTTTCCTCAGTAGTAGTTCTGTCTTTCCTCTTATAACACAGGGTATGTGTAGATCCATAAACAAAGGCTGGTAATGTACATTGTGTCATTCATTTTTCATTAAAGCGGGGGAGTTTTACCTCTATGTTCTATTAAAAGCTAAGACATAACATATTTAGATCACCACACTACCTTTTATTGTTTTGAAAAAGTTATATTTACCAAAAACAACATATTATCATGTTTCATAAGTTTAACTTCAGTTTTTTGATGCCCTGAATCTCCTCTTCCTTTGCTCCCCATGCTATGTCACTCTCCCTTCAGAGTGCTATCACCACACTATCAGCATTACTGAAACTACTGCACAAAGCATCAGGTTTGTTAAGTTGCTGTGTACAGGTTTCTATCATGTTTTTGTATATTTATGGATAATTTTCAAGTGGGAGCATGACTGAGCTTGTAGGCTGAGACAGAATCTTACAGCTAACCATAAGGAGGGTACGAAGAGGGTCCGGGGGAGATTGCAAAATTACTCAAATATACATGGATGACATCCAAAACCTTGGGCATATTTTTGGTGAGGGAACATTATAATATGGTAGAAAGCTAAAAAAAAAAATAAATATATATATATATATATATCTATATATATATATATATATATATATATATATATATATTTTTATTTTTTTTATTTTTTTTTTTTGGCATAATATCCCCTCTTTACATTAGTGGGATGTCTGGGGAGGGCACTATTGATGAAAATTTGTATCTCAATATAGTTTTGTTGTGATATTAAAATTTCAAACTCAATACATTAGGAATTCACTTCAAGTTCAAGTTCAATTCCTTTATTGTCATTGTCATATAAATTAACAATGAAATTATGTTAGATCATCATGTGAAGAATCCCTCAGTCCTTCAGGTAGAATCCATGAGGAGAAAATTCAGTTTGTCGACTGGACAAAAGTTAGTTTGGTTGAAGATGTTTCGCAGCTCATCCAAGCTGCTTCTTCAGTTCTGGTGACCAGAAGATCATCATACAAACAGCGTAGTATTTTAAAAGTGCATAATAGTGTAGAGCGCCCCCTATGTGCCTGGTCAATACGCCCGCTCGCTTGCCCCTCTTCTGCTGCAGCTCACAGCGCCTTCTTCGCCAGTCACCTGTTGTACAGACCCGGGAGTCAGGCGGATGATCTCGGGAGGGATGAAATACTCGTTCGACCTGTAGTAGTGTACTCCAGTATTTAGGTGAAGGAGTTCAGAGTGGCTGTACTGAAGTACCACTGCACCTAAAAAGTGCAAGGTAACACAAAACACAAAGTGCAAAAACTATGCCAGTTGTAGGAGCTCTGAGCCGCTGCGTCTATGCGCGCCGCCATCTTTGCCATTCATTCACTTAATACTGATAATGATTACGGTACTAAAAATCATACTAAAACTGTTCAGGAAATCTCATATCTTGTTAATGTGACTTTTGCATTATCAATACCTGCTCAAATAAGTATCTTATTTCAATATTAGCTTTAGTATCGATTAGTGTCAAGGGTTGTCAAAAGTATTTAAAACCAATCTCAATATTGTTTTCATTTTTTCATTTCTGACAGTATTTTTGCAACCCACCACTAATGTGCTAAACCTGTTTGGAAATGCTTTGATGGAGGCTCAGGTATTGCACAAAAAGTGAATGAACTGTGAAATTGAAAAGCTGCAGAAATATCACTTTAAATCCCTTGTTTGGAAGATGACACTTTTTTGCAGCCCCTTGGAATCGTTTTTTATTATATACCTCTATACTCTCAATTTTGCATACCTCCAAAACAACAATAACAGTATTATAAATGTTTCTAGGGTTAGTTTAATAAAGCATTACATTTCTAAGAAGCAATATGGGTACATAAAGACATTTTACATTCTGTTATTCATTCCACACTCTTAATGTCACCTATAATCACCAGTGCTTGTATGTTCCTCTGGCTTGTCAGATGTTCCCTGTGGCGCTCTGAATTCTCCTGTATTTCTGATTACATGATTAAGTGTCACAGTAATGGACCTGTTTTTGTGATAAACTCTTGAAACATGAAGAGCTTTTTGAATCAGAATCAACATTTTCTACAGAAGTGGGATATCTTGACCTCAACTACTATGTGATGTTTACCTGTTAGTGTATGAGACCGAGAGGGATACTGCTTCTACTATTACTGCTACTACTGCTACTACTACTACTACTGCTACTTCTACTGCTGCTACTATTGCTACTGCTACTTCTGCTGCCACTACTACTGCTACTGTTACTGCTACTGCTACTACTTCTACTATTACTACAACTACTATTACTACTGCTACTACTACTGCTACTTCTACTGCTACTTCTACTGCTGCTACTGCAACTATTACTACTACTACTACTACTACTACTACTACTACTACTACTACTACTACTACTACTACTACTACTGCTGCTACTATTGTTACTACTATTGTTACTACTACAGTACTGTTACTACTACTGTTACTACTACTGCTACTGCTACTGTTACTAGTACTACTACTACTACTACTGTTACTACTACTACTACTACTACTACTACTACTACTACTACTACTACTACTACTACTGTTACTACTACTACTACTACTGTTACTACTGCTACTACTACTGTACTACTACTACTGCTACTACTACTGTTACTACTGCTACTACTACTGTACTACTACTACTACTGACTACTACTACTACTGCTACTACTACTACTACTACTACTACTACTACTACTACTACTACTACTACTACTACTACTACTACTACTACTACTGTACTACTACTACTACTACTACTGTACTACTACTACTACTACTACTACTACTACTGACTACTACTACTACTACTACTACTACTACTACTGTTACTACTACTACTACTATTACTACTACTACTACTGCTACTGCTGCTTCTACTACTACTACTATTACTACTATTACTATTACTATACTATTACTATTACTATTATTACTACTATTATAACTAGCATTACTACTACTGCTATTGCTACTATTACTGCTACTACAATTGTTATTACTACTATTACTATTACTACTACTACTACATCTACTACTACTACTACTACTACTAATCATAATATGTTGTCTTGTGTATTGCAGTATCCTGTTTGCAGACATCGAGGGCTTCACCAGTCTGGCCTCTCAGTGCACAGCTCAGGAGCTCGTCATGACCCTCAATGAACTCTTCGCTCGCTTTGACAAACTGGCAGCGGTAAGACTGAGATTAATCTTTTTCAATCCAATGACAAATGTTAGTCAAATATTCCAGTAACTATCTATAATTTTCTTGTCAAAACCTGCACATATGTGAACAGTCAGGAATAAATCAGATTAAAATAAATCAGATGTAACAGTTTCCATGACATTTCAATAATCAGACAACTCGAGAAATCATGTTAAAATTAGATTTTTGTGTGCGTGTAAACATACCTTGACCTTAATTTCTACACATATGAATTCTCTCTAGTCTGTATTGAGAGGTCACATTAGTAAATTTAAATTCACACTGATAAATCACCCTCTGAGCTGTTTAATTCACACTTCGATACATGACCTGATCTGACAGAGAATGACTCAGTGCACCCTTACATTACATTACCTCAAATGATCCAACATGTCACCCCATGTCTTACAATACAATATAATATAATACCATTGCCTTGGATTTATTGATAATATGTAGTGACATCTCACTGGGTTTGCACGTCAGAATGTTCACAAGTTTCTATGGTGACACAATGCACACATAAGCCTACACTTGCCAGATAAGTTCAAAAACAGTCAAGAAAAAAAATACAAAATGGATTTAAATAAACAAACAAAACAAAAAAAGGTCAATGTGACTGACTGAAAAATTTACAAGATATCACTACACATTCTTTATCTATTAATTTCTAGTGTTATATATGCAGAGCCACAGCTGCCCTGGGGCTGACTAAAGCTTGTGTGACTGCCAATCTGCCATTGAATATGTCTAACCACTACCAACAAATGATTAAACTTTCATTGAATAGTTGTCAAAAGTATAAAAAAAATCAAATACTAATCGATACTAAAATTAGTATTGAAACTAAATTTGAGCAGGAATCGATACTAAAAAAGTCACATTCATAGGACAGAAATGAACCTTTCCTGAATTGCTTTAGAGTGATCTTGAGCTGTATCAGAACAAGTATAAGAACACATAGACTATTATACGCCCATTAGCTAATGAGTGAGATTTGAACCACCAATCTTTGTGAGCCAAGACACCACGGCCCTAACACCTGAGTAAATATAATAAGTAGTAACTCCACTGGCTTAATATGTAACACACAGGCTTAAACTGTGTCTCCAACAAAGTCTCGAGGCTGATTCAGTAAAATTAAATTCTTTATTAAAACCTAGATTACATCTTATAAGGTCATATTTGTTTTTATTGCAATATCCATTATCCTCCTGTATCCAAATCCACTTAGTTAAAGAGGATGTTTTCATCTACTAAAAGAGTCCTTATTAAATGTGTAAAATTATGTAAAGGACTTATATTAAACTATATTCTGATTTCTGCACAAATCCTGCAAGACTGAGTTCTCTCTCAAATTGAAAACACTCTTCAAGCACTCTGTGTTTTTAAATTCCATGCACCTTCACTAAAATCATTTGGATGATTTCAGCCCTGGAATTGTCAATCTTTATTGAACTAAAGGTAAAAGGTAGATGTTAACTTCAAAACTACCACTACATGACATCACACCACAGAGCATTTTCAGCTATAGGCAGACTAGTGTTATTCAAACATGTGTGAATGAAACAAAACACAACTCTGGATATGTTGTTGATGAGGAAACAACATTATAACATGGGTAAAAGCTCACAAGAGTCAATTTTGAGAAGTATAGGGCCTTTAATAATTCATGTAAATATTGATTTCAGTAATGTAAACTATTGTAGATGTATTCATCAAAATGATTTGATTTGCATGAAGTTAGAATATACTGTATATGGCAGTTTAATTTAAATTTAAATAATTTTGATAAAAAATATCTATGCTCTTGGTTGAGAGCTAATTTCTACATTGCATACTGCTGTAGTGTCACTGTGCAAGACACTTTACCCACCTTGACTCCAATATCAATATACACTAGTGTTGTCACGATGCTAAAATTTCCAATTCCATTAACGATTCCGATACCATGAAGATAATAAAAATCATTCCAGACAATAGAATGCATTTTTATCAACATTACAATACAGTACTTTCTTTTATATTACCATTTGGTCTTATATCTGTGCAATCCCTCAGTGGTGCAGGTCGGTTCTATAGTGGTCCATCCTCGTCTATGTGCTCTTATACTTGTTCTGATACAGCTCAAGATTATTCTAAATCTGTTCAGAAAAGGTTCATTTCTGGCTTGTGAATGTGACTTTTTCAATATCAATTCTGGCTCAAATGAGTATCTAGTTTCAGCACAGTAAAAAATTATATATAACTGATATAAACCGATATGAGTGGTCAACAGAGATAGAAAAAGCACTATACAGTACAATAATAACCACCAACCAATTTATCCAATCGTCAGAAATTCTAAAAATCATTACTATTGTTTTGAATTTGAGTCATTTTCCCTTATGTAGCTTTCCCTTATTCACAGCATGTGGGCGGTTGTTAAGTGGTCTATTTGTTTTGCTGGCTGTAAACCTAACCTCACTCTAAAGGGGAATCTCATGATAACCACCTGAGTATCTCCGCAGCAAAGGATTCTGGGAAAACTGCACAAAACATCCATTGTGTGGGAGAGCCAATCGGAGCATGTTTACAGTCCGGGCACAGCTGGGTCATTCAGACACATTAGGATCCACGTGTAATTATGCTGATGTATGAATATTGATCAGGGCTATGTTTTGTAATTATGATTCGCGTTTCATGTTTAAAGGTCCTATATTACGCAAAATTGACTCTTGTGAGCTGTAAGCCATGTTAAAATGTTGTTATATCATCAAAAACATACCTGGAGTTCTTCTTTGTTTCATTTGTGCATATTTGAGTAATCCTGCATTATTAATCCCAACAGTCTCCAAAGTGCTGAATAGAGTATAATATAAATAATATAATATAAATTAACACATTAAATAAAATAAAGCATAAAATAAATAAATAAGCAAGTCAATAAAAAACACAATTCACCATAAAGGATAAACACAATGAAGTCGTGTTAAAAACCAGTGAGTAAAAATGTGTTGTTAAACGAGACTTAAAAGAAACAACTGAAGGCGCGCTCTTAATGTGAGGGGCGAGAGCGTTCCAAAGTTTGGGGCCCACCACAGGAAAGGCCCGGTCACCCAAGGGTCACCCAACTTCTCAGCCTCGTTTTAAGGATGGCAAGTTGGAGCTGGCCCTCGAGCCTCACAGCACGCAAAGGAGTGTAGCGAACAATGAGGTCTGAAATGTACTTTGGGGTCAGTCCATGAAGTACTTTAACATATAACAATTTTAAAATCAACTCTAAAATAAATGAAGAGCCAATGCAGTGAGGATAAAATAGGTGTAATGTGTTCTCTACGACGTTTGCTGGTTAAAAGACATGCATTACAGTTGTCAAGACGTGTAGAGATAAAAGCATGGATCACCCGCTCCAAATCACTAAAAGCAAAGCTCAAAAGGCTCTGTTCCACTTTGTGATGCCATGAAGAGATAATTTGCAAGTGAACAGCTGCCTTTTACCTTTTTCAGTAAAGACTGATTATAGTGATTGATTGATTCTATCCAAATGATTCTAGTGAAGGTGTGTGGAGTTTAAAAACCCAGTGGAGCACTCCCTGCATTAGCATATAACATCACAAGGTGGAACAGAGTGTTTTCTGTTTGAGAGAAGGTATGTTTATGATGAGGAAACAACATTATATTATAACATTTATCAGAAAACATCAACATTTCAGAGAAGAGAAATATGAATTGATAAACTAATACAGGAAGCTCTATTTCCAGAGGTCTTATCCAAAGGTACAAGAGATTTTTCTATATAATTAAATAAAACTGGATATTTTGCTCTATTGGCAATGATATTATTGTGCTACGGTCTTGTATTTATGGAACAAAAACAAATTACAAAATGTTTATAATATATAGAAATTATTATCAAAATTGTGCCTACATTTTGAGTTGTTCTGATTCATTCTCACATGCCTTGCACATATTTAGCATGTAGTAATGAAGCAATAAGTCAGGGGTTGACAAGAGGTTAAATCAATAGCAAATGTTGTTCCCTCATCAATATATTCCTGGAGTTGTGTTTTCTAAATTGAGTAATCAACATGTTTCACTGTATTCATTATGTATGTCATTAGGTGGTAATAAAAGACCTTTTCTGTGTTTTTAAAGTCCATTCATTTTCAGTAGAGTAGTTTCGATTATTCCATGTAGCTCAACTGACTTTAGTGGTAGAAGATAATAAGGTTAAGATATACTTTGTTAATATTTCCTTCTTTTCATTTCACCACCCACACACAAAAAGAACATGCAAACTCCACACAGAAAGGTCATTGAATGTAATAATATTATTATTTAAGGCATATATTTATGTAGTTTAGTTAAAGCAATTTCCTGCAACTTCTATCCTCTACTCAAAGACCTTTATATTAAGAAACCCTTCACACTTTCAAACACCCAACTGGAGACAAATGATTAGTGTCTTGCCAAAGGACACAATAACTGTTAACATCAAGTATTAATTGAACACTAGCAGGGACTGAACCACCAGCCTTTCAAGTCAGTATGCAAATTTCTTTATCAAGTCATATATTTCTATGGTTAGTGTTTAATATTGATTTAAATGGTTGAAAAAGAGCTCTACATATTTTGAAATTGATATAATGCAATACATTCTCTCTCCTTAAAGGCTAAACCATAAATAGTTGTGAGTAATATGCATTAGTTATGTTTTCCATTGGCTTCTGGTTATTTTTATATATAGAATCTGCCTTTAAAAAACCCAAGACAATTCCTCAGAGCTGTTTCTTTAAAATGAAGTGAGCTGCTTGACCAGATCTGCTCCCCGAGGGTCCACCTTTTTAAATGCCAAATGATTCATGCTCCGACTTTATCAAGAGGGCCTTTCTGTACTGCAAATGTTCCACCATTTTGAGTTCTTATTATCTAAGGGCCTGATAACCTTTTGTTCTTTCTGCTTCATAATTATTTCAACCTGTTTAAAACAAGCTTTTTTCGTACACAAAGAAAACTAAATTATGCAATGCACATGTTACATATTTATATTTAATGGAAGAAAGCTATTTACAAACTCAAAATGATTTTACAGTTTGCTCTGTCAGATTGTCCATTCATTCAATTACACAAACCCATATGTAAGTGGGTGAAGTGTCTTGCACAAGAGCAGATCTGTAGTATACATTGATCGAAAGGAGGATTGAACCCAATAGACATCTTGCAGACATTTGATCATTACTATATCTCTGTATTTGTTCTTCCAGGAGAACCACTGTCTGCGCATTAAGATCCTGGGGGACTGTTACTACTGTGTGTCTGGTTTACCTGAGGCTCGTGCTGACCACGCCCACTGCTGTGTGGAGATGGGGCTCGACATGATAGAGGCCATATCGTGAGTTCAGCATCAAATATAGGCCACGCAAATAAATAAATAAAGTGTATTATCCTGATGTTAAGTCCACTGGAGATTTGAAATGATTTTAGCCATATTACAGTTTGGTCAGTAATTAAAGGGACAGAATTAAAATTCCGATTTTAAATGCCATAAACATGACCTATTATCTGTGTCAATATGCAAATTTGACATGTTCAAATCAAATATTGCTTATACTAATAACTATTGTAATGATGTATTCTTAATTACAAAAACATGGCACATTTATGTTTTAATGTGGTGTTTTGGTTCCAATCAGAAAGCAGAATGAGTCTCAGAGTTTCAGAGCTGAAATTCAGTTGGTTTTAATTAAACTGGACTCTCTGATCTGAATCCTCATTATCTGTTTTAGACAATATAAACTGCACATAACTAAAGTTTGATATTTAAATGTTTCAAAAAATTTGTTGTCCAGAGTATTGTAGTTTGTAAAATGCATGTGGTCTTATTATAGTTCTATTTTGACTGTGTTTGTTTCCAGTCTGGTGCGGGAGGTGACTGGTGTGAACGTGAACATGCGCGTTGGCATCCACAGCGGTAGGGTGCACTGTGGAGTCCTCGGACTCAGGAAGTGGCAGTTTGACGTCTGGTCCAACGACGTGACATTAGCCAATCAGATGGAGGCGGGAGGAAAAGCGGGGTATGAACTCTGTACATACCTGTCACCAGATATATTCATAGATGGAGTTCTTGCTTGTTTTGAAATTTCTGTATTTAACTTTTTCTTTTTTTTTTTTACTTGAAATATACATGGATTTCAGACTAGACAACTTGAATGCTAATAGCTCTTGTTTTTTGCCTCAGTTAAGCTACTTCATGACACCTATAATAGTTATATTGTAGGAACAATTAACAGTGCAAAACCATATCAGCTCCTCAAAATGACATCCACAGCCAAAAAGTAATGTGACTGAAACTTATGAACACATATTCAGAGTAAATCTACATGTAAAACTAAACTTAAGGAGTTGTAAGTATTTAAAGGCCTAAATATAGCATAATTTCATATATTTGTATTTCAGGCGTATTCACATCACAAAGGCCACTCTGAACTATCTAAACGGTGACTACGACGTGGAGCCTGGAGCAGGAGGAGAGAGAAACGCATATCTGAAAAAGCACAACATAGAAACCTACCTCATTGTCGGCTGCAGCCAGAAAAGGGTAACTCCATAAAACTATACATTTACAATGTCAAATATTGGTGTGTTCCACTAGAGGGCAGCAGTACTCACTATATCCTCGACTACTGTTTAATTAGATAGTGAGATATACAAATAAGTCCTTAGATAAATTGGTGGATTGATAACATGCACAATGCATTACATTACATTTTTCAAACCAGTAAAATTAAGAATAATATTATTTTGTATTATAAATAAGAATAACTATAATTGTATTTAAAAGATATTTAAAAAATCAATACATTGAATTTATAAATAATACTCACATACACTATTACAGTAGTAGGGCTCTGAGATCCCTCAAAAACATGAAAAATTACTTGAATACTATGTTTTTTACACTCCCAAACATACAATGTTTTGATTAAAACCACAACACCAACAAGTTATATGAGAAAAGACAAAAATGCAGATATATCCCAAATGAAGACAAAGCAATGTTAACTCATAAAGACAAAACCTTCCAGCTATTTAAAGCCCCACTGTGTAACATGTTAGTAAATTAAAAAAAAGAGTAAAAGTAAGTTTTTTCAACTTCCCTCGGGAAATTGCAAGCTGTTGTTTTAAGTAATTTATCTTATAATTAAGATTTTTTGAAACACATTAGCACACTATGTAAAGTCATTATATTTTTGTTGTTTAGGGATTAGATATAATACATTTTCTTTTGCAGAAAGAGGAGAAAGCCATGATCGCCAAAATGAACCGGCAGAGGACGAACTCTGTGACCCACAACAGCGGACACTGGACGGATCGACCGTTTTACAACCACCTTGGAGGAAACCAGATCTCCAAAGAAATGAAGAGGATGGTGAGCAATACTTTACTGTTGTGTTATGTCAAAACTGTTTGAACAGATGTACTCTACTAGGTTTTTATGCAGAAGAAGACAGGGTGTTGTCACCACCTTTAAACGGTATTGTGAAATCATAATTTATATCAACATTTCTGGAACATTCCTGCTGGACAATAATTACGTCCATGGAGACATGAAGGTTGCAGACCCTCCACCAGAAGTGTTACACAGTTCATTTTTAACTGAATCAATTCCATTACGCAGACCACAGTCTGATCATGGTAATGGTATAATGGCCAAGTCATTTAATTAAAGATAAAAGTTATTTTGTGGGATTTATCATATGTTTGTTGCTTCGCTTTGAATGCTTCCCAGTATGGCATTTAAGTCCTCCTTTGAATGTGCCTCTACTGTAGATCTAGTTTAGTTCCAGACAGTGGGAGGTGGTCTGGCTGATTGCGCAGAAATAAAAACAGTATAAATTCCTCTATGTTCTGAGTCACCGTTCTCAGGTCAGCGCTGCAGGGATTTGTATTTCGAGGCATGATTTCTCTGCTTGTTCATTTTGTTTCGTGTTAGTCTGTGTAGCACCAGCTCAAATCCACCCACATGGTTTTGTTGTGTGTCTGAGTGCTGCTAATGGGATGTGAGAGAGAACAGGTGACACAGGAATAAGCACTGCTCAGTATTAACTCTTAACATCCAAGTGCTACATCAAAGGGCCCATATTACTCTATTTTCTGATCTATGTTATAATGTTGTTTCTTCATCAAAACATACCCAGAGTTGTGTTTTGTTTTATTCATATGCATTTAACAAATAAACCCTGTATATTTAGGATGAAATTTTCTCTCAGACAGGAGAGACACCTTGTGATACAATGGTCAATTATTTGGATAATTTCAGACCTGAAATTGTCAATCTCTATTGCACTAAATGTAAAAAGCAGCTGCTGAAAACTTGAAAACTACCACTATATGACAAGGTGGAACACAACATTTGGAGATTTGGAGATGTATAGAGTCTAATCATAAAGGATTACTCAAACATGTGTGAATGAAACAAAACACAACTCCAGGTATGTTTGTGACAAGGTGACAGCGTTATATCAAGGCTTAAAGCTCACGGGAGTCAGTTTTGGGTAATTCTGCTCATATTTTGATGATTTCAACATTTCATAAATCAGGGCTAAATATGTCATGCTGTGTGAGTGATGGTGGATAGCTTGAAAAACATTGTTGTCACTGTGAGCGAGGTAGCCTCTCCACAGATATGACCTGGTGGCAGTAACATCTCTATGGAGACAAGCAGGGGGTGGATCCTTAAAGTAAGTCAAGTGAGCCAACTCATTTCATTACGGGTATTTTTATTGCCCATAAATACCTTGAAAAACATCTATTCTACTACTGTGGGCGGGGTCTCCTCTCTACAGATCTGACCTGTAACTTGGCCTGGTGGTGTCATCTGCTTGCTACCTCCATGGGTAACAGACAAGAGGAAAAGTTATAAAGTACTGTACTATATGTTTTTCATTACCATCAATCAACCAAATCTCCTGAACTTCCCAGCCTTATACCTTGAGATGTGACATTTTGACTTTAAAACCTTCTATTACAGGCTTACAGAATATCCCCCATTAAAGTAGTGTTATCTGCAGTTTCCTGGGATTAACTTCATGTCTGATCCCGACAGTGGATTTGTCTGAGTGGATTTGTGCTTAGACTTTGCACTTTTTGGTCAAACTTTGAGAAAATATAAGAAACAGTGGCAATATATATTTACTCCCCTCCCCATAGCATCGTATATCTAGCTGCTCTCACTGTCTCCTTGTATCTCTGTAGAACTCATTATAAAGACATACTGACTCAAGACGCAGAGATAGCAAAGAAATACTGCTTTTGTTCCTCGTTTGTTCAAGATCTTGTGATTCGATGTGTTAAAAGTATATATTTGTAGTCTATATTGTGCAAGGCAGTTGTAAAGATATGCATTGATTGAATTATCATGTTTTGGTTTATCCACAAGAGGGCGCCCTAGTCCCAGAGATGACATGCATTGCTTAGTATCTGGACAGCAAACTTATTTATGGTAATGATAAAAGGGTAATAAATTGGACTAAACTGAAACTTAAGTGAAATTCGACAATAAAACTACTTTTTTTTTTTTATGTTCCACAGTATGGCATTAAACACGTACTCCTGTGTTTCAGATGACATCACAACATTCTGCATGCAGTAATATTTAATACAGATGGGTTGCAGCTAAAATATATATTGTTAAAATACAAACTTTTGTTGTAATGCAGTGGATACTTGATTTATTAGTAGAAATGATCAGGTTCAGCATTTGTGGATTTACATTTTTGGATGATTCATAGCAAGGTACTGTGTTATCAGTTGATGTTTTACAGCTGATATCATCAATATTTCCTGGAGGGTGTGACACTAACTAAAAGCATGGCTCTGTTTGAAGCTCTGATATTCAAATTAGACTTTAAATTGAGCTTTAATTTAACGCACTCTGAACAGAAAAAGACATCTTAGCTGGAACAAGTGAGCTGATTTGTGCTGTTAAACAGGTCTGTCAGACAGCAAATTAGCTAGATAGTGAAGACGCATTAGCCAACCATTTTTCTAGGGTGACCAGATGTTCCTATTTACCCGGGATAGTCCCAGTTTTGTGCGCTGTGTCCCCTGTCCCAGCAGATTTATCCAGTGAACTAGTGATTTGATAAACCAGTGATAAACCAGTGATTTGTCCCAGTTTTATACAAAAACGTCCCAGGTGTCCCTATTTTTGACCAGTGTGATCCCTGCCAACAGTAAAGAGAGTCATAAATTGTCATTTGTTCATGTAAAATATAGAAAAGCTGCTTAAAAATCCCCAAAACACAAAGAAAATTTTGACTGTACTGACTCACATTAGTGCCCAGTGCATAAGAATTTTCCTTAATTCCACACTAGTTTCACAGGTTTATTATTACCAACCACCACAAACCGGGGTGTCCCAGTTTTGGATTATGAAAATTTGGTCACCGTAAGTTTTTCAGTTAGTTACTCACATCTTTTTTATTGATAAGTTTTGTTGAGAACATGTGAACATTACTATGACCTGCACTGTGGCCGAGTGGCTGGCACTCATGCCTCACAGCAAGAAGGTTCCAGGTTTGATCCTTGGTTCGCCCGCCGTTCTGTGTGGAGTTTGGATGTTTCTCTCAGTGTCTGGATGGGTTTCCTCTAGGCGCTCCAGTTTCCCCCATCAACCCAAAACATGCTACACAGGGCTCTAGGAAGAATAACTGATAGCTAAGGTCAATTAAATACAATTAATCAATGAACCTGCCCAGGGACTACAGGTGGAAATTAGCTGTTAAGGTTAATGTAGATTGTGCACTGTCCCCGTCTCATTAAATTAATAAACTAATAATCATAGAGCGCTCATATTGATCGCAGGCTCCTGGAAATGAGAGGTTTAAATCCATTTGTATTTGTTCTTGACAGTATTACACATACATGTAAAACACCCCCAGCGTGATATCACCACAAACTCATCAATCTCAATCAATAGGGAAAGCTGTCTGTTGCCCACCGTCTGGAAGCATGGCATAATCGCATTCCAGAATCTGAAATCCACCAATATCTTACAGTGGATTGATAGTAACATTTTAACATTTTAGTTCTATAGAGGTAGTTAAGTTTAATGCCATACTGTGGAACATCACTTTCCAGGCAAAGCAGTAACAGGCAACCAGGACCCTCCTCCAGAAAAGTTTCATAGTACACCTTTAAAAAGAAACAAAGACAGAAATTTTGCAAGGGGTGAAAAGTTGTTTTAATATTTAGAAGTTTCCATCTAATTATCTCTTCTTTCTACTGTTTTTCAGGGATTTGAAGACCCTAAGGACAAGTGAGTACCATTTTATTGCTTTATTTGGACATTGCGTCTCACATAAACTCACAAAGGAGTTCTAAACCACCGTCCATCTCAGAAACTCGATAAAATGCCTTTACCCTGAGGAGTAGTTACTGTAAAAACAAGTCCAAAGGCAATGGAACATATTGTCTTTTATTTCTGCAGTCTTAAAATGAACCCGAGACTGCTGATGCTGTTTTGGTTTAATTAGACTTCTGCATTATCTTCAAAGCAGAAACACAGCACAGATGTTTAATATGCATTGTTGAGCACTGTTGTGTCCTAAAAAGGGACGAAGTTAGGGCTTTGTCGGGAGAACTTACAACTGAATAGTAAGTATAGACACTACAGGGAGAGCTAAAAGTTTGAGGAAAAAAATTATTTTAAAAATTTACTTGTGAAAAATGGTTAAAGGGTTTGCAGTGGTCCTCGCTTACTGTTTTCATTTGAAACTATTTAATTATTTACTCTAATGGGTTTAAGCACTTTTCACAAATTTCAGAGACAAGAGAAGATTTTTGCAGTGTCAGTAAAGCTTACAACAACTAGCATGCTAACACACACTTTCAGATTATCGTACAATAAAATGACTATTTAGTGCTATAATGAGATGGAGACAGAACCCAGCAGACTTATTTTGATCTTAAGAACTGCCTATATAGTATATCAGTAAAGGGGCAAGACACATTTTTCTTAGATACATTGGAAAAAAATCAGGTACATATATTTTAAAATCAAGTATGAATCTAGTTTTGGGTTGCTTACTGTGTCTGATTATCTCTATCTGTGCTTTTGTATCTTCCAGACACTTTATCTTCAGGAACACTCAGGAGAACATGAACCCAGAGGATGAGGTGGATGAGTTTTTGGGCCGAGCCATCGACGCGCGGAGCATTGACCGCCTCCGATCAGAACACGTCAAGAAGTTCCTCCTGACTTTCAGAGAGCCAGACCTGGAGAAGAAGGTAACCATGGTGATGGGCGATGATTAAAGGAGTTCTATGTAACTTTTATAGGGGTCAGGGTGTGCGCCACCTGCTGGTTATTGCTTTGCCTTGAATGTTTTACTGTATGACATTAAACTTGGCTATCTACTGTCACCAGGCCAAAATGAATGTAAGCTTGGTATGATGAATACTGTGGAACATTCCATGCAAAGTAAAAATTGGCAACCACCCCACCAGTGAAGTTATATAGTGTATCTTTAACTTAAATACTTTTACATTTATCTAAGCAGGTAATAGTAAGCATTAAGCGGTGTAATTAGTTAATTATTAGTCAATGAAATGGAAAGTTGTTGGTTTGATTCCTTTTCAAGCACTTACTGTTTTTGTGTCACTGGGCAACACACTTCACCCCCATAATTAAAGGTGCGCCATGTAACTTTTCTGCTTTGTCTAGGATATTCTAATGTATGGTACTGAACTTATTAGAGACAGGTGATATCACTAGGCCTAGTTACAGATCTTAATTTATTCATTATTTTACCAGGTAAGTCAGTTGAGAACACCTTCTCATTTACAATGACGACCTGTACAAGAGGCAGTATAAAACAAAAGCACAAACAGGAAACACTCACGCATAAACTATAACATGAAACAGTATGGAGAGGCAACCCTACTAACAGTTAGAATGCCGGTTTCTTCAAGGTATTTTTACGCAAAGAACAATGCCATACTTTGAAACATTGCAAGCAAAGGAATAACATCTGCATGGAAACCTGGAAATGGCAAACCCCCACAAGTAATTTTACATTGTTCATCTTTAACTTAAATACTTTATCTAATGTGTCTCTGGGAACATTAGATAATAAATAATTAAGATGTGTTTTTCTCCAATTTATTCTTCACATCTTTTAAACTACATTTCCCATTCGATTTCTACACACTATCCTACCCCATACACAAGCAATTACCTTATATGTGACCACAGTTTGCAGCTATAGGAGCACATAATTGGTTGTGACAGGCCAATTTCCTGTCTGCACCGCGCTCCCTCCTCTCGTCTCCAGGGGGGGTCAGTCAAACTAAAGAGCAGAGGAGACGGAGGAGAAGGAGGAGGAGGAGGGCAGAGGAAGTAAAATGTTTCAGACAGAGAATGGTGACCAGGGGCAGGATAGATCTGTGATGTTTAAGAAGATATTTTAAACTTTAAAGACTTTTCTGTCATGGTCAAAGGAGTTTAGGAGTGCTTACAGTTCTTGATTTATTTTTGTGTTTATTTGTGGTAACAAAGCTACTCCAAAGCACTCTTTTATGATTATGAAATGAACCTGTCCATTACAGCAAATATTAATTACTAAAATACCTCTCTCTCTATCTCTTTCTCTGTCTCTCTCCATTCCCCTCTCTCCTCTTTCTTTTTCTGCCTTTCCTTTTCTGATACTCTCTCTTCACCCCATCTCCTCTCCCTGTCTCTTTCTCCCTTACTGTGTCTTTGTTTTGCTATCTCTCTCACACTCTCTATCTTAATCTTCCCCCTCTCTCTTTGCCCTCCCTTCTTTCTTCTCCCTCCCTTCTCCTCTCTCCCTTCTCCTTCTCTCTTCTCAGTACTCTAAACAGGTGGACTCCAGGTTCGGGGCGTACGTGGCCTGTGCTTCTCTCGTCTTTCTCTTCATCTGCTTCATTCAGGTCATCATTGTTCCACAGTAAGTCCAGCCTAACCGCTGATGAATGCATAAATGCATTTCTGTAGTCTGACCCGTCCTTCATTGCTGTTAAGATGAAACCTGTTAGGATCAGTTGGCATCTTGTTCAGTCCATCCAACCTTTTCATTTTCTTCCGCTTTATCTGGGGCCGGGTCGCGGGGCCAGCAGTCTGAGCAGGGAGGCCCAGACTACCATTTCCACACATGCCTGGGACACCTTCCCAGGAAGGTGTCTTGGGGCCATCTGGAACAGATGCCCAAGCCACCTTGGCTTCTATCGACGTGGAGGAGCAGTGGCTCCACTCCGAGCTCCTCACTCTATCTCTAAGGAAGTGCACAGCCACTCAGCAGAGGAAACTCATTTCAACCGCTTGTATCTGCTGTCCTTTTTGCTCATAACCCAAAGCTCATAACCTTAAGTGAAAGTAGGAACATAGACTGACCGAGCTTTGCCTTTTGACTCAGTGCCTTCTTCACCACAATGGTCTGATACAGTGACGGCATCACTGCAGATGCTGCACCAGTCTGCCTGTAAACCTCACACTCCATCCTTCCCTCACTCGTGACCAAGACCCTGAGATACTTGAGGGCAAGCCACCTTTTTCTAGTTGAGAACCATGGCCTCTGATTTAGAGGAGCTGATTTTCATCCCAGCCACTTGAGGCCATCAGGACAACATCATCTGTCATCAGTTATAGAGGCCACTGAAGGCAGCACAAATTTAGATTTAGACATTTTTGACCAGAAAGCTACAAATTTATAGCCGGATTCATCAGCCGACTGCACTTCATCTGACCTCGCAGCATTAGGATTTGTTCACTCGACTGTAGGCGGGTACTTGTTTTCATTTAACCAATCACTGCTTTCCCAAATCCCGTAGGAAGAAGGGCAATAACGTCTTTCCGCTTGATAAAATTCACGGAACATTGTCTTTGTTACAGCTTTATATCCTCAATCTCAGCAATCGTTGCCAGCACAGAATGTATGGCTCTTCACTGATTGGCTGGTGCCCAAACTTCCGGGGTTTTTGTGAACCGTCTAGTGTATTTTGATTCCTGACCTAGCTGCTGGAGAGAATTGAAAATGAGCGAGGCACTAGGTAGCACCAGCCTGGCTAACAAATTTACTTAGTTTGTATTAAAGCTGCCAAAAAGGCCAGTAGAACAGTAGATAATGCTATTAAAGCACCATGTACACAAATTAGTACAGAAAAACAGTGAATTTACTGTTTAGTGGCACTTGAACATTGTAGTATATATTCACTGTCTGCAATGGTTGGTAAGAGATTCCAGTTAAGATTATTTAAGTCTATAATTGACTATAAAAAGTGAAGTAGCTATAAAAAATATTCCTCTGTTGTTCATCATCTGTCTACCATTGTTTCTCTGTGCTCTCTCTGCCTTTCCTCTCTCTTTTCTCTCCCTCCTTCCCTCTCTTCTTCTTTGTGCATACTAACAAACTCCTGATGTAAGTGTTTGTTTTGTTTCAGCTCCAGTTTGATGGTGGGCTTCTTCGTCACTTGTCTCATTATCCTGACAGCTGTCATGTTCGTGTCCACCATCTACTGCTGCTATGGGGTGAGCGATTATTAAAAACTGTAACACAATGCTACGCAACACATGCATAATACAGGGAGCAGTTTAATGATCCTATATTACTCAAGATGAACTCTTGTTAGACTTAAGCCATGTTATGATGTTGTTACCTTCTCAAAAACATATCCAGAGTTGTGTTTAGTTTCATTTGAACGTGTTTGAATAACCCTTTCTTATTAGTCTGTCTAAATCCCCAAAGTTAAAAGCTAAAAATGCTCTGTTCAACCTTGTGATGTCATGACGTGGTCATTTTCATCTACTTATACCTTTTTGTTCAGTGGAGATTGGCAGTTATCCAAATGTTTCTAGTGAAGGTGTATGGAGTTTAAAAACATAGTGGAGCACTTCCTGTATTACCTCCATACAAACGATTGTTTACGTATGTAAACACGGTTCTATGAAAAGTGAACCTGTAACCATGTCACTACAACTCAAGGGTTGTAATCACATGGTTACAGGTTCACTGAAATGAAATAGAACAGACAGTTTTCTATTTAAGAAAAGACTGCAGCCTAAATATGCAGGATTTAAATATCAAAAGTGTGAATGAAACAAAACATAACTCTGGGTATTTTTCTTAATGAGGACACAACATTATAACATTGGTTAGAAAATAAGCCTGGAGACTTTAAATAGACACTGAAGGAAAATATGCTTTTTTTGTGTCTTTGATTTAGAGTGATATTATCTTTGATTTAGAGTGATATTATGTAAGTCGTGCATAGTTTTACAAGCCGGTATTACTGGCTTGGTCACATTGCTGGGCATTTGACTTTTGTTTTGAATTAATAACCTAAACCAAAACTAAACCAAACTTGTGTTGATTACCACACATTTTCATTAAGTGTTGGTAGTTGAGGCTTACTATATGGAAGGCCAAGAGTGGTGTGATAGGCGGTGCAGTTGGAAAGTTGGTTCAAATCTTGTTTGTGCATTCTTGGGCATTGGACATTGGCAGCAATATAAGATCACTGTTGGTTCCTCCAGCTATTCCCCACCCCTCTCCAAACTGTGTCCAAGAGGATCGTCCAGTCCAGACTCAAGAGCACTTTAGTGGGAGTCTTCACCATCGTCCTGGTCTTTCTCTCAGCTTTCATCAACATTGTAAGTACATTTAAACTAGTCAGTGTCCTGCTGTCATATTATTATTGTGTGACTGCTGCGCACTCACATGTTGTGTTATGAACGTAACTAAGGTTCTCTGAATCCTGGATCGCCACCAGGGGCAGTGCTGAAAGCACTGTATGTCCTTTGCACATGCATAGTTCAAGTAGAAATACAACAGAGTCACACCTGTGACCCCGAAAGACACCCCAGACACAATATATTCCTTTGTCAGCTCCACCCTCTGGCCTCCCTCCCTCTTCGTCTCTTGGTCGTGTATCCTGCTGTTCCCATGACCTGCGCAGGTGTATTATCTCTCCCTTCCTCTCTCTCTTCACTAGTCTCCCTCTTTCTTTGTCTTGTTCATGTATTAAATCTCTCTCCTCTCTCTGTCTGTAATTCACCTGCAGCCCCCATGATCTCTGCAGTTGTATCATATCCTCTCTCTTCCCTCCCTCCCCTCCCTCTCTCTCTGTCTCTTGTTCATCTCTCTCCTCTCTCTATCATTCACCTGCAGCCCCCTGACCTGCGTGGCTGTATTCTGTCCTCTCTCTTCTCCTTCTCTCTTTTCTCTCTTGTGCATGTATTAAATCTCTCTCCTCTCTCTATAGTTCATCTGCAGCCCTCATGACCTGCGCCATTGTATCATCTTCTCCCTCTCCTCTCCCTCTCTCTCTTTCTCTTGTCCATCTCTCTCCACTTTCTCATTCTCCTGCAGCCCCAGTGACCTGCGTGGCTATATCGTCTTCTCTCCCCTCCCTCCCTCTCTCTCTTCCTCTTGTTCATGTTGTTCATGTATTAAATCTCACTCTTGTCTCTCTCTGTAGTTCACCTGCAGCCCTCATGACCTGCGTGGTTGTATCGCCTCAGAGATGAACATTTCGTGGGACAGTGTTGGGCCGTGTCACCCTCAGCTCCTGAACCTGAGCCTGGACTCAGAGCAGACCCCCTGTGCACAGCCGGGCTCTACTGTCTGCAGCTTCCCTGAGGTACAGCGCACATCATATTCAACTTCACACAACTTATATACAAGTTGATACAGTGCTACAGTTAGCAGCTCCAACAATACAGATGCTACACTACTTTGACTACACTATGATTTATGTAGTTTCTAGAACAGTACAAGCCCCAAGGAGGACAAAAATATAAATAAAACTCAAAATGAAGCAAATACTAATCCTACTGGCCCTTCAGTAGTAGTTCTCTGATGATATTTTTGGGCTGATATGTGGGGCCGTTGATCATTTTCCCCAAATGATGTAATGTAAATATACTACATTCTCACCCACAGAACTGTTTTTCTACAAACCTATGAAAGAGCAGTGTAGCTATGTTTTGTGCTGTTATATCTTAGCAATGACGTGTTCAAATAAAGTGTTACACATGTCATTTAATAGTAGTTGTAGTGGTACTAGTAGTAGTACAATTATTAACCCCATTATCTCCTCTCTCTTACAGTATTTCACTCTGTGTGTCCTCCTGAGCCTGCTGGCCTGCTCAGTCTTCCTGCAGGTGTCCAGTATTGGGAAGCTGAGTCTGATGTTGGTCATTGAGCTTCTGTATGTCCTGGTGCTAGAGGTGCCCTCAGCCAGTCTGTTTGACAACCAGGACCTGCTCATCATGGCCAACGCTGTCAACACAACGTATGTCTATTGAAATCACTTCAAATTAATATAATGCACGTATTTGTGTCCACTAGGGTTGTCAAAAGTTTCGAAAATCAGATACAAGCCTATACTAAAACTACTATCAAAACTAGGTACTTGTTTGAGCAGGTATTAGTAATAAAAAAATACATTCACAAGACAGAAATGAACCTTCAGAATGATCTTGAGCTGTATCAGAACAAGTATAAGAACACATAGACTAGTATATACCCATGGACCACTATGGAACCTTCCTGGACCACTGAAGGATTACACAGATATGAGACCACATAGTAATATAAAAGAAAGTACTACAGTTTAATGTTGAAAATCACATTCTGTTGTCTAAAGAAAGAGTGTTTTTTATGATCATTGTGCTATCAGAATTGGTGTCAAGTATCGAGTTTGAGTTTAAAATTTTAGTATCATGTACATGAAGGCTGCTACTATTTGAGAATAAAGTAAATTAATTTCAATTATTTCAAATATCTTAATAAAATACTTTTAAAATGACTTGATGTTATTTAAACAGATGATAATAATGTTTTTATTTTCTCTTTTCACAGAAACACCACAGGCTCAAGGTGAGAGTCCTCTTCCTCACATTAACCTTTTTTACCAGTGGCACAAATGAACCATACTGATGTACAGGCAACAGATGCTAAAGCTAATGACCGTTAAGAGCTGTTTCAAATCACCACTTTTCACTAAATACTTCATATGGCGAATTTTAGCTGTAAGGTTAATGTGAAACGAAATGAATGAACATTGCTACTAAACATTTACTCATAATTAAAGATGCACTATGCAACTTTTCTGGTGGAGGGTCTGCCAACAGAAAAGTTGCATAGTGCATCTCTTGAAGGTGTTTTCATTTTGCCTGGAATGTTTCACAGTGTAACATTAATCTTTCTAATGTTATGGTGTTTTAATTACTCCAAACATGCATTCTAACCAAGTGTGGTCACTGGTCCAGAGCTCTGACCATTAACTTGGTCATACTGTGGAACATTTCAAGCAAACCAATAACATTTCCATGGAGACAAGAAGGTTGCGGACCACCAGAGAAGTTTCATAGTGCACGACTAAAACAACAACAATTACCAGCCCTATCAGATCAAATCTTTAGGTTATGTTAAAGATGGAGTCCATGATTTTCACAGCAGTAGTACTAGTAGTTATTTAAATCTTTCTAACTTATCCCTAGCTCTCACAAACTCTTTGGCATATTATTAATATCCATATACATTCATTTGTGGGTACGTGCATAGCTTTTTCAAATCACAAAGTGAAACTGGTGTGGACCGCCCAAGTGTAGCCAATCAGAGCTTTGGTGCTTACTTCCAAGTTGACTTACTCATACACAATAAATAAATAAATAAAAATAATGAAATGTATACCCCAGCTTTAATTTGGTATTTATTTATACAATAGATGCAAAGTTTGGTCATGCTTTTGCCCATATTAAGCTATTTTCTGATCTATGTTATAATGTTGTTTCCTTATCACAAACATACCTGGAGTTGTGTTTCGTTTCATTCACACGTTTAACACACAAACACTGCATATTTAGGCTGCGTTCGTCTCGCAAACAGAAAACACTTAGTGGCACATTGTGATGTCATGTGGTAATACAGGAAGTGCTCCACTGTGTTTTTAAACTTCATACTCCTTCACTAGAATCATTTGGATAATTTCAGGCCTGGAATTGCCAATTTCTACTGAACTAAAGGTGAAAGGTAGCTGTTAACTTGAAAACTACCACTACATGATATCATAAGGTAGAACAGAGCTTTGGAGATGTAGGCAGACTAATAATAAAGTGTTAGTCAAATGTGTGAATGAAACAAAATACAATTCCAGTTATGTTTTTGATGAGGTAACAACATTATAACATGGCTTACAGCTCACAAGAACTACATTTCGTGTAATATAGGACTTTTGAAGTATCACAATTATAAGTTTTTATGATTACAATGAATGTGACATCAATCTGTCAAAATTATCTTGCCATCTCTACTGAATACATATGTGTTTTTCCCCTTATAACCTGTATACTTGTGTGTTTGCAGCTGTGTGGTGGACTTGAAGGTCCCTCTGAAGATCATGACTCCTGTAGTGATCACTGTGTTTGTACTGGCACTGTATCTGCACGCTCAGCAGGTCGAGTCCACAGCCAGACTAGACTTTCTGTGGAAACTACAGGTCAGAGAAAAGATGGTTTGCAATTAAGTAAATGGTCATCTGAAATAAAAGTATTTTCTCTTTTAATAATATTACTCAAATTGAAACAAACAATCTAACCTTAATAGATCTTTTTTTGTGTTGACCCCAAGTCCAAGTCCCAAGTATTTCAAAAGAACATGCATCAGGTTACACTATAAGAAAACAAATTGTATGCTGCTTTAATTAAGAAATAAATATTGGTGGATTATTTTACTCAAATCTCAAATAAAAAATGTCAAAACTGAACAAAACACTAACACTCCTAGTCAACACATTGGACACATCGTCTCATTTTTTTGGTTTACTCCTCTCTGCATTCTATGTACATCAAATCAAATATATGATGAAGATATATGGAATTATGTAGCAAAGAAATGTTTAATCTGCTACATGTGTGTATAATATTTTTTGAATTCCCAGCATTTTTATTTCAGCTTTTTACTTTGTCTTGTGACTTTGTTTTCAGGCCACAGAGGAGAAGGAAGAGATGGAGGAGCTTCAGGCCTATAACCGCCGTCTGCTCCACAACATTTTACCCAAAGATGTGGCGGCTCACTTCCTCCAGAGAGAGCGGCGAAATGACGAACTGTATTACCAGTCCTGTGAATGCGTGGCGGTCATGTTCGCCTCCATCAGTAACTTCTCTGAGTTTTATGTGGAGCTGGAGGCCAATAACGAAGGAGTGGAGTGTCTGAGGCTGCTCAATGAGATCATCGCAGATTTTGACGAGGTAGGACATTACAATTATAAAACATATATATATTCTATTGTCTGTGCTCGGACGTAAATACATACTAGTGGAGAAAAATGTACTCAAATAAAAGTATTGTTACATTGCTAAAATGTACTCAATCACAAGTAGATGTTCTGCTTCCAAAATTGTACTTAAGAAAAAGTAAAAAATACACATTTCCCTTTTTAACATATACAAACTTAGAACAGTTTGAGGGCAAAATAACCTCTTTATCAATTTGGCAAAACACATTTGGCAAACATAAAATAACTGAACATGGAGTCCAATCTCACAGGTTTTACATATCCACTCCATGTAGACCTCATTTAGTAAAACATTTTCTGTTGCACTCACAGTAAGAATGAGGCCTTTTCCATTGTATAAATCCTTTGAACAATGTCAGTCCATTTCTCAGTTGTTGGTCGCTCAGGTTTCAGTCATTTCCTCATTACTGCCTTTTTACTTGCAGCCAACAGGATATAGAGTCATTTCTTCTCCTTATTATTAAAGTCATCTAGTGCTACAGTATGTTACCCAGACACAAACCATCAAATTACAGGGGCAAAACAAATAAAAAAAAAAAACATTTTCCAGATGTTGATGAACCTCTGACCAATATTCTTGGATAAGCCCACATTCCCCCTAAATAAGGAAATTATATATATTCCCAGATATCTGTTCTGGACTCGTGTAATGAAAGATCTCATTATATTTTTCCAAAAATGTGAGCCTGTCGAGACCCACTGTATTTGACACATGTGCTCCCAATTCTCCTCTGTGATTGTAAAGCTTCCCTCTTTTTCCGAATCAGAGCAGGAGATGCAGTGTTGTTGTGAGTCTGTTGGTTTAGCAGGGAAAACAGACACTGGTGAGACTGCCATGGATTGGGACAGTTGGACAATTGCTGTACTCAATTACAAGTACAAGTACATGTTTAAAAATCTTCTCAAAAAAGTACAGTCACCTAAAAATCTACGCAGTTACAGTAATGTGAGTATTTGTAATTTGTTACTTTCCACCTCTGCTAAATACATACTGAAAATACATATTCTAGAATGTGATTTTGTGGCCCAGAAATCAACATTTTAACAATATAAAAGTTGCCTGCCCCCCCCCCATTTATATTAAATATTATTAGCTTCCTGCACACGAACCTGCAGCCTGTTCATGGGTTTAAGGCATACGGATTAACTCCTGATTTGAAGGATTTGGCAGCTGTCCCTCTTTCTTACAGCAAAAGTGTAATTAAAATCAAACTATATCTTATGAATGGGACCAGGGCTGCAAGATAAATAGCAATCAACTGAAATTACAATTTGAATGGACGCAATTATAAAATTACAAAGGCTACAAATTTTTAAGTACCATAATTTCCTCCACAAACAAAATCTCCTGTCTCATTCTGCATAAAAATTACTGTAGTTTAAATCTGTTCAAACAAGTTCTGAAATGTGACTCTTGTAGGCCTATTAGTTTGTCATTTTTCATAGTTCATATTTCAGTCTTTTGGTAAATTATTGGCATTTTAAAACAGAATCCTATTACTGAAACATAAATTGCAAATCTATTCACAATTACCATGCTTGTCAGAATTGTTTTCTGAAATCTTTCAGCCCTAAATGAGCAAAGGTCCTCACTAAATACTTCAAATCAGGCCTGATTTGCCTGAAACCCATGAATTCATACTTGCAGTGAAGCTGGGAGTGTTCTGCCTGTATGCCTATGGTGGAATGTCCAGCAGTTACCATGGTGACACAATACACATTAGCGATAACTACCAAAACATGTCCTGTTTAGGTGTTTGATCTTGAAGGTGAAAAACTGTTGGCTAATGGTAGCTCACTTTTGTTTAATGAGACACTTGTTTTAAGAGCTCAGATCATCTCAGCTGTGGTAGTTTCAGCTAAGTCAGTTCTTTCTGGTCAGATTGTGTCAAAACTAGTACCGAGCTTCAGACAGAGCAGTGCCTCTAGATAGCATCATACCCCCAAGAAATCACAATAACATCAGCTGCAAAGAATTAAAATCAAATCTGTAATATCCTGTTAACTTTTTCTTTTTGTCCTGCCACTTGATTTTCTGTGTAGATCATCAGTGAGGAGCAGTTCCGTCAGCTGGAAAAGATAAAGACGATTGGCTCCACGTACATGGCTGCCTCTGGTCTGAACGACTCCACATATGATAAAACTGGACGCTCTCACATCAGAGCTCTGGCCGACTACGCCATGAGACTCATGGACCAGATGAAGTACATCAACGAGCACTCCTTCAACAACTTCAAGATGAAAATAGGTACAAGGGAAATTATAAATGATCATATCTTGGACAATAACAATATTTTACTTTAATAATAATAATTTACTAAATGGATTAAATGGTCACACATTGGAATTACTTGGCAAGAATTTTTGACGCTCTAACTTAGGGCTAAAACAGACATGGGTCTTTCTTATTGTTTTACCTGCTCTATTCAAGTGTAAAACACAACAAAATAAACACTAAAAAGATCTTATATCTAGTCAGTTATTTTATTTGAAATTTTAGAAATATGTTGCATATTATTTTTACTGCTATGTACTAGTATGTACTCACTTTTTATTAGTTTTGACATGTAATTTGTGATTTGTTTGTTCCCAGGTCTAAACATTGGTCCGGTGGTGGCTGGGGTGATCGGAGCCAGAAAACCTCAATACGACATTTGGGGAAACACAGTGAATGTGGCAAGTCGAATGGACAGTACAGGTGTCCCAGAGAGGATACAGGTAGGTAGAACTACTGCTACTGCTACTACTGCTACTGCTGCTTCAACACAACAACAACTACTACTACCACTGTTGCTACTATTACAAGGGATGACAAGGGAATTTATATATAGCACAATTCATACACAAATAAATTCAAAGTGCTCTACAGAATAAGAAAGACATCAAAATCGCTATACACAAATTCACAATACTTAAAAATAATGCCATAGTATGAAACATTACAAAAATGTCACGTAGCATACAGACTTGGAAACTCAAAAACACCACCTTTTCTGTGTTGTTTCTGAAATTACCACATAGGCTTAGGGCAGTCTACAAGCAATAAAACGATAGACCATAAATTACTACAGAAGTAATCAAACTAGATCAAGATAATGTATATTCTGCTGTATTCTCTTATTGAATGCATTCTACTGGCCACACTTCACACATGGACGCCTATGGGCTCCATCAACCTAATGAAAAATGCTAATTACATCTGCCCATATGAGCTGTCCTCTATCAGATGTGAAGTCATTATAGACCCAGTAAATCAATTGAACTGAAATGGAAAGCCTTAATTTGGACCTATACAGTATTTCTATAGAGCAAAGGCGTTGAAAAATATAATGAAATACGCAAGTTAAGCTGCAGTGACGTTAAAGGGCCGGGGGCTATTTCTAAGAAGAATAAGGCAGGTGAATAATAGAGAGTTGCAGAGGGACAAACAACAACAACAACAGGATGGAGAGCTTATATTTTCCACTGCAAATACTAATACACATGAATATTATATAGTAGACATTTTGTATTAACTAAATCTGAAAGCAATTTGAATCTAAATTTGGAAACTAAATCAGAGGTTCCTATGTTTTTCAGACAGCATTCATCAAAATTGCTATGCCAGAAAATAAATACAAAACATATGCAAAAATAAATTAAAAGTCATATAATTTTTTTTTTTTTAATGAATTTTAGTGGCAGCAGTCAAAGATGAGACCAGTTATGAGATAAGATGAGAATGAGACAAGATAAAATAGATAAATTGCATATGCATATACCGTATTTTTCGTACTATAAGTCGCTCTGGAGTATAAATCGCACCAGCCAAAAAATGCATAATGAAGAAAAACATATATAAGTCACACTTTTTGCGGGAAATTTGTTTTATAAAATCAGAGACCAGGAACCAACATTTCATCTTCAAAGACAAGTTACAGTAATATAACAATAGAATAGAGAACAACAGGCTGTTATGGTAATATATTAAGAGTTATTCAGATAACTATAGCAGAAAACAACATAACAACCAAACTCTCCATCTCACTCCAAATCACTGAATCGAAATTGAAATTCTTCATCCTCGGTGTCACTTCTGAGCAACTTCGGGACTTAGCATCAGTTCCAGTTAGAATTATTTTAGCCTTTCTGAATCCCGACAGGATGGTTTTGATTTGCTTTGTCGATCCATCCAGTGACTTACAGGAAAGTTGCAAGGCACACCCTCCCGGTTGCAATGAAACTGTGTTCTCCATCCCCGCCTTTTGCCAGTCCCTCACAAGTTTCTCGCTCTCTCCAAACTTTCTGCTTCTCAATTACCGTTTTCGGCTGCGTATTTCACTACTTACAGCAGGACAACTATTTTTTCTGTAGAAGACATGCGCAGTAGAGCGAAGTGACAGTGGTACAGGAGTAATAGGAGTAGCAAATACTGACACACAAGCCTAGAGCGCCCTCTCGTGGCTGTGGTGTAAAAATTTTAATATAGAAGTCGCACCGGAGTATAAGTCACAGGACCACCCAAACCATGAAAAAAGTGTGGTTTATAGTCCGAAAAATATGGTAGGTGTGAATATTGTATGTTTCCTTTTTAACAGTACTGTATCAGTGAAGTAATTCCACAAAATTATTTGAACAAACCATTCCTGGATACATTGACAATTTTAGGACAAGATACAAAAATACATTATAGCAGTGCTTCTCAAACTTCTTATCCATGGTTTAATTTTATTTTAGACCATTTTAGTCTTAATAAATAGTCGTGTAATACTTTGCAAATGATGTCATCAATACTCCCTGGGGGTGTGATGCTAACTGTAGGCCTGCTCTTTCTTCGGCTTATTTAGACTTAAATCTGAGCTGAAAATGTGTTGTTTAAATCCATTTAGTATTTTTTCTTGAGTTTTCAGACAATCTTAAAACTTTTTTGACTGTGTTCGAGAGTGTGTTTGTGTCTAATATCTTTTTTGTCTCCCTATAGGTCACTACAGATCTGTACCAGGTTTTAAGTTCTTATAACTACACATTGGAGTACAGAGGCATCGTCACCGTCAAAGGCAAAGGAGATATGATGACTTATTTTCTCACTGGGGGACCACCGAACAGCTAACCCACGCTAACAGACCTATGCTAACTCCACTTTTTATGGATTTAACATTGAACAAGATGGACCAGTGTAACATACAGCCACTTCGGGATTATTTTTGCTGCGAGTGTTACCAAAATGGCTACTTTTTGGATGTAATTTTTCATTTTAAAACTTTCAAAGAAGGACTATAATATGTGGAAGTGGACTTTTTTTGAGACCAAAGATACAAAGCTTCTATTGGAGAAATTATATACTTTGTTATGGGCCCAGAAAGGACAATATGAACTTATTCCAATGTGTTTTAAAGCTCTTATTTTGAAAGGCTGCACATGTTTACTTCCTGTTCGTCAGCGGCGTTATAAAAGGATGTCAGAAGAGCTTTTTTACACTTGTTTTTTTGTATTTTAACGGCACCAAAATGTCTGAAGCTGAAGATATTTTAAAACTAGTCTATATTTTGTACATTATTATATTTGAGAGAGCTATCTTTAAACACCAATGCGTATTCAGATTGTACAGTCTATGGTCCTCTCCTTTGGGATGTTTTCCAAGCTTTTCTGGTGGTAATTACAGATAATATTTGACACTTTTTGAATCACTTCTAGTCTGATAAATGTGGGGTTAATGTTGCGTTCATGTGGTCCAAAGGTGATGAATCATTTTAAAAATCTGTGTTTGATTTTTTTTTAAAACTCTACAGTGTAATTTTTCTGGTAGGGGTTATGCCACCTGTTGGTCTACAAGGAGATGTATTGCTTTGCCTGGAATATTCCACAGCATTTGACAAATTTAGCTAGCATTTATTCAAATATGTGTGGTTTTCTTACTCAAAAAGTATTGCGTAAACAATGGATTCTTACGGCTCATCTATCCACAGATCTAACTGGTAACTTTGCCTTGGCACCAAATTGAGATAATTAAGTTTATTGTCATATTGTTGAACCATTCAGGCAAAGCTAAAACATCTACATTAAGACAAATAAGCAGGTCTACGCCAGAAAAGTTACATAGTGCACCCTCAGATATAAAATATAGCATTACAATTCTACAATGTAAAATTAGAGATGCACCGATCCAATACTGGTATCAGATATCGGCGCAGATCGATTGGAATATCTGCTTCTAAATATCGGTTCAGCTGGTTTATATAGACATACAAATTGATACAATAAGACTTTTTACTGGTCGTAGTCGGCTCAGAAAGTCTATTTGAATTTTTATTTACACAAACTTGTTCTGTTGGATAAAACATTTAAACATTTGAGTCAGTTTTGTCTTACTTTATTTTTGTATAAAGGAAATAAATGCTATTTTCAGTCTCTGCCCTGGTATCAGTTGATATCAGGTATCAGCAGATAGACACTTAAGGCCACTTACTTAATGCTGGATCGTTTTATCCCTATGTTAAATATTTATACTCTAACCTTAACTCTGTTGGTGGGTTTCAGAGCGACGAAAATCTAGCAGTTAGTTGTCATAGCAATTAACGATTCAAGATAAAGTAATCTTTTGACTGGGCAAAAGTCCTCTAAATATCACTTAAAAACAAGAACCTGAAACTCATGAATATACTGTTGACAAGACTGATAATTGACTACCTTATCATAATCCAGGGGTCTCCAACCTTTTTCCTTCTGTGAGCTACTTTTTGTAAAAGGAAAATGCCAGAGAGCTACTCATTTTTGGGGTCACCAGAAATGTTGTAAATATAAGCACCATGGGAAACTGAAGATGAGGTAGACTTAGATGTCTGTAAAACATTATCCAGTTATCAGTGTACAAAATTAGACATAAAATCTATGCATTTACAAAGGAAATAGGCATTTAATCAATCAAATTAGAGTTATTCAGCCCAATATATATAATTCAGAAATCCCTTGGGAAGCTACTTGAAAGGAGGTGAAGAGCTACTGGTAGCTCCCAAGCTACAGGTTGGAGACCCTTGTCATAATCTAACCATACCAACCAATAAATGAAATAATGCCATTGAACTGGAAAATACTACACCCGGGGACCACATAAATGCATCATAATAATTATTTCTCACTGATGTTTTTGCACTGCAGTGTCCTATATCCGTACGCAGCTCTTTCTCCTCCACTCTTTCCCTCTCTTTCTCTCTCTCCTCCCTTCTTCCTTGCTTACCCCCTTTCTCCCACCCCCCTCCCCATGTAATCAGATGGTACGACCCTTTGAATGTCTGTGATCCGCGAGGCCTTTCTCGTCTTCTGCTGTTTCAAATTTGATGCTTGTTTTTCAGTTTATTGCAGTATTAGACAGCTCAGCATGGTCCAATCTCATCACCCATTTAGCCATAACAATAATAATAATAATTTAGGGAAATGGTTTGTTTTCAGATGGTAATATCACAAAGGAAATATTGCTGGGTTTCAGATGACATCACATTATAGGCCAATCATATTTAATACAGATGGGGGCAGCTAAAATTAATACTGTTAAACTGCAGATGTTTGTCGTAATACAGTGAGTACTTGGGTCTAGCCTGTAATAGAAATGATCAGGTTCAACATTTGTGCGTTTACCTTTTAGATAACTCATGGCAACAATGTAATCAACTGAGTAAACTGTCTCTTACCCCCATCTGGAAGTATGACGTCATCACATTGTAGAATCTGAAAACGAGCAATTGTTATGTTGTCCTCAAACATCAAGACAAGATCCATTTTTTTAAACTTATAACTGATATTGGTAACATCCCCAGCTGTGACTAATAATTTAAAAATCATATACACTTTAAAGGTGCACTATGTAACTTATCTGGTTGAGGGTCTGCCACCTGCTTGTCTCCATGGAGATGTTATTGTTTTGCCTGGAATTTTTGATAGTATGGCATTAAATTGATTCTTGTGATCTTTAAGCCATGTTAGAATTGTGTTATCTCCTCAAAAACATACCTGGAGCTGTGTTTTGTTTCATTCACACGTTTGAATAATCCTGCGTTATGGGGCTGTTTACGTCTCTAAACCTCAAAATGCCCCATGCCACCTTGTGATATCATGAAGAAGTAGTTGTTAAGTTTTAAAGCTAGGGATGTAAGAATAACCATAAATATCGTGATGTGATATATCGTCAAAGTTCTCACAATAATATCGTGGACCATCACAGTATATCGAATTACAAGTCTCTTTGCTTAAATTAAGTTATGGTGAAGCAACAGCTAAAAAAAGACAGAGGGAACTACATAGACCATGATCCTTTACCCCATTTCAGTGCAGACTACAAGAAGAAATAACAGTTTTAAGTCTTAGTTCTCTGGATTAAGTCTTGTCAAGGCATTTAAAAGGAAAAAGTAGCATATTAACAGTTTTGTTTGCCTCCACAAACTATCGTAAGAAATATCATACCGTGGGATGTATATCGTGAAAATATCATACAGAGAGATTTGGATATTGTTACATCCCTAATCGTGAACCTCCCCTCCATATCATGCGCTTTCAAAAGATATCGCAATAAATATTATACCGTGAAGTTCATACAGTGACAATATCGTATCGTGAGACGTGGATATCGTTACACCCCTATCTGTATCTCTAATGAACAACCTTTTACATTTTATTCAGTAGAGATAGATAGAGATAATTACGGAGTTGAAATTATCCAAATGATCCTAGTGGAGGAATATGGAGTATAAAAACACACTGGAGCACTTCCTGTACTACCACATGACATCACATAACTATGTTTTCAATGAGGAAACAACATAACAGATCAGAAAATAGCGTAAAACTTTTATACTGATTAAACTCAATGGAGAGCGGTAGATGACACCACCAGGCAGGCCAACTTCCAAGTTAAATCTGTGAAGAGGTAACACCACTCTTAATACAAATGAGTACACACATTTAAGGTGTTTTTGAACAATAAAAACACAACTTAATAAATGCAAGAAGCAAGAACAGATGCAAGAGGTTTAATGCCGACTGTGTAACATTCCAGCCAATGCAATAACATCTTCATGGAGACAAGCAAGGGGCGGACCCTTCAAAGTAAAAGTTACAATCACAAACATAAAATTTGTCAGTGGAAAAAGGTTTACAAGTATTCAGTGAGTCTTGATGTTTGAGGACATATTAACTTCTTTAAATAGTTTCATTTTGCTTCATGGAGTAAACCTTTGCATAGTTTGTTTGCTAATGTCTTGTTTCTTGAAGGTAAAGTACTGTACAAATGCACTAAAGGTTTCTATGTATTTGTTCATATGATCCACTGATGCCACCCGATGCTGACCACTGCTGTTTACGCCGCCATTCAAATCACAATGTTTATCATTTCAGGCACAACTAGAAAAAAAGTGGGTTTGAATTTGTAACTTTTCAGTCAGAAACCTCACAAAGCTTCATTTTTTTAAGGTCAAATAAATAAACTGCTCAGATGTTTCACAAATAAATCAACTTGACTGTGTTTCTCACTGAACTGTAAATATTTATTCGAGCTCAAAGTAATACATTTAGTTTGTAGGTCAAAAAGGATTGTAATATATAATCAGATTGGTTAAAAAATAGATTTGAAAAGTACATTTCAAACACATTTGAGACATTATGTAACAGAATGGTTAATGGTATTACAGGTGACAAAATGTTAACTGAATTTTTGTATCTTACAGTAATTTTTTTAGGGTTTAAATGTATCAATTGCTATTATAGATAGATTTATTTTACTTAATATATTGTATACCAAATGTGAAAGTGGAAAGGAGTTTCAAAATCTTTATTGAAATTAATGTTTATTAGGATAAAACAAAACAAAAAATCTTGAGACAAATACATAGGGAAATTATTTTTAAAGAAATATAGAAAAGAATAACCAGATGTGAAAAAATACTAAATGAATGCAAGTTAAATTTGTTAATAATAATAATGACTACACCTTAATTTCCTTTAATAACGCATGAACAAAGACTTAATTATGAATGAACAAATCAGGAGTCAGGTTTAGATCATTAAGGGGTTCGGAGGTAGGGTTAAAGGTCATATTATAAAGTATTACCCTTAAATTCAATCTGATCTTACTGAAACTTCAACACTTACAGTATACCTGCGATGCCCAACAGGTGGCAGCAGGTCCCCACGGCTCTCCCCGGCTCTCCCCGGCTCCTGTGTGGTCCCATGTCTGGGTCTGATCAGGGCTGTGCTGATGGAAGAGACAAAATGCTAATGCACTAATTAGCATCACAACAGTTACCTCATCCATTACTCATCAGAGAGTCTATATTTACACTCACAGACAGGACGGTGTGAGCTGAAACATTTATTACTTCACAGATTTAAATCATTTTAGTAACTTTATATGTAATCATGAGTAAGCTATTGTAATTCTGGACAAGAAATGACACAGTATAGCATTAAAGAGCCCACATTACGCTATTTTCTGATCTATATTATAATGTTTCCTCATCACAAACAAACCTGGAGTTGTGTTTTGTTTCATTCACTCATGAGAAACACAAACCCTGCATATTTAGACTTTAGAGTTAGAGATATTTAGATTTCGTCTTTCAAACAAACACTCTGTTCCTCCTTGTGATGTCATGTGGTAATACCGGAAGTGCTCCACTGTGCTTTTAAACTCCATACACCTTCACTAGAATCATTTGAACCATTTCCACCCTAGAATTGTCAATCTCTACTGAACTAGAGGTAAAATGTTAGTCTGATTCATCAACCTCACAGCATTAGGATTCGTTCGCTCGAGGGTAGACGGGTGTTTTTTTATTTAACTAATCACTGCTATATGGTCATGACGTAACTAGTATATTAAGCTTTTCCCAAATACTATAGGAAGAAGGTTAATAATATCTTTCCCCTTGACAAAATTCACCAAACATTCTCTTTGTTCTGACTTTAAATCCTCAATCTCTGGAATCATTGCCAACACAGAATACATGGCTTCATCTACATCCATCTCAAACGCTTTGTTTACTGTTGTGGTGTACCACAGAAAGGACCCAGTCATGGCTTCATAGCTCACAGCTGATTGGCCGGCGCATACTCT